TTTTGTGAACCTTCTCGCATAAAAAATCCTTTTTTAAAATTTTGTATAATAAAAAAAATGCTTATTTAAGTAGTAAAAAAATGCTCATTTTGCTCATATGTAAGTCCATGGTAGACTTTAGGTCTACCATAAAATTTACCTAATTACTTTATTTCCACTAAATGTTTCCATATTTCTTTGGCTAAAAATAACACTTCATCTTTTATAGTAGAGTTTTATTAGCTAAGCAATTACTGTTATGCCTGCACGTCGTATAGTGTGTTAGAGTATATTTTCTGTCTCATAATAATAGTCTCATTTTGAATAATATGAACAATTTCATTCTCTAAAAATGGTTTTATTTATAAATTAATACGGAAATAAAAAGTATAATTTACATTTTACATACGACGTATTTCAAAACTACACAAAAACTTATAAAACATAAAAATATTTTATTTTATTAAATAATCAATGACACAAATTAACAAAATGTCAAAATAGTAATTAAGAGAATTATTTTGAGATGGAGTAAGTAAAAATTTTCCTACACCTACAACTTTAAGTTTTGGAAGGGATAGGTTCGTTGATAATTCAGTCCTTTGTTTTTATTATAAACCACCTCATTATTATTTATTATCCTTATCTATAAGACTAAAAATCGAGCTCCCTCAATCCATCTTTCTGATCAAAAACCTTCTCCGTACACTCTTGTTTTTTAATAATTTCAAATACATTTTACATTAACGTATTTTTTGTAATGAATATGAGGTTCACAATATTTATATTTTTACTCCATACTTTTAAATATTTTTTTAAATTATGTCAAATCAAATTGTAAAATATTTTTGGGATGGAGTTGAAGTATCATATCATATTTGAACGTAGTTATGATTCCGAGTTATTGGATGTACTCTCTCCATCCCAAAAGATGTTCAGTTTTTGCGCATCTCAAAAAGATGTTCAGTTTTTACACATCTCATAAAATATTTTTACTCATATCTTAAATGCCTAAACTTTATCATATTTTTCCTTTATTGTAGGTAGAAGTTGTTTTGAAATTCTTTTGGCATTTGAGACGAGATAGATATGTGTTAGAGTGCATCCCACATCAAAAGTTCAAGAGTAAAATAATTGGTATTTAAACTTTTGAGTTAAACTAATTAATCAATTGGATTCAATCTCTTAATGTGATTCTGCCCAAATATCTTATTGCTCAATCTAGTTATCTTTACTCTACTCTATCCTAAATTATATCAAAATGTATTATAAGATGCCCAAAAAATGAGACAAGAACATCTTTTTGGAACATAGAGTAAGTAGTAAGTGTTCTTATACAGTCCATTTATTCTTATCTTATCTCAAATGAGACTTTGACATAAGATACAGTACAGTTGCTTAAGTTAAACAACTCAAAAGGCATCCACCATTAATGATACTCTAGGATTGATATCATTGGTATTGTAGAGCAAATAAATTTGAGCAATGCTAGGGGTACACCAAAGGTGTCTCCCACCTCTTTCTTCACCATTCAATTTTATTTTATTTTTATTTATTTAATTTTTTTTACTTTCTTGCCTTTTTTTGTGGTGATGGAGGAGGTGGGGGACAAATGGTGTACACCTTTGGTGTACCCCTAGCATTTTTCAATAAATTTCTCACTAATAATGACTGTATGTGCGAAAAATAATTTATCCGACTAACTTTACTGTCAAAGGTGAATTTCTAACATATTAAAAATTGAGTAATTTACGCAAATGAGACTTAAACATTTCACTTACTTTTCCCTGAATAGGACCACTCCTATTTAATCTAACATTTGCAATGAAAAATTTTAAAATGTCATGCTTTTGAGAAAAAAATGACTTATATTAGACAATTCAAATAGAATAGGACATTATTAAAAATAATTTGAATAGTCATTTAAATAATCAATCATTTTCCAACTCATGTTGTTAATGACCATATACGTAGATTCATTTCTATAATTAGTCATTATCCAACACTTATTGCTAATGAGAACATATATGGAAGATCATATGAAATTATGTGCCGTAAAGAAAAATAAAACATACTTAGTCATATTCAGAGAAACATCCTGTTTTTAGTTTTATATGGAGCAAATTTTTCTTAAAAACTTTATTTAGTTACCCTTTTTGAAAAGTGAAACGGAACATTTGGAAATGAATTGCTAACCACAATTCCTAACCACAAAATTGTATCTACGTACGTACGTACACTTCTTAAATTGAGAAGTGAGACAAAACATTAGGAAATGAATTGAGGGACTATAAATGAATTAAAAATAAATGAACTAAAACTAATGTGAGACATAATCATAAAAAAGTAAATTGTATATTTTTCAAATTACTTTTTGAAAAAAGAATTGTGACAATATTTTCCCGCACGCAAGGAAAATTATTGCACGGACCTAAAGTCCATAGTGCACCTTCATATATGCTAAATACGCTTTTTTTAAATTAAAGTATTTAAATACACTTTTTTAAAATTAAAAAAATATCCCTGAATAGGAGTAAAAACTTATGAAAAAAAATACCAAAATAGGAGTATAATAAAGGAAGTATGATATAAGAGTACGCATTGGCAGTGTAATGGAAAACTGATGACAGTGTAATACAGAGTATATCAATATGATCAATCAACTGTCCGCGACGGTACCTTGGTAGCCGGCGGGGGCGGGTGGAATTGTGGCGGTGATAGTTTGGCAGTTAGAATGTGGCAATGTAGCGAGTGTGACAGTGTAACAATAAAAGTGTGAACTTCTATGTAGCGAGTGTGACAGTGTACTTATGACTCCATTAAAAAATATGTGAGAAGGTCTATGTGGACCTTAGGTCCACTATATAACTTCACTTCTCGCAATTGTTTCCACAATGTTCTTGCTTTTTTACCGACACATCCTATATTAGTTTGTATGTGAAAATGCAAGAATATGTTGAGATGATAGAATTTAAAATGAGATAGGGATCATTAGATTGAGTGAAAAATTTGTATTGACCTATATAAAAAAATTGAATTCAATCACATACTTAAATAATCAACTCAAAAGACTTAAATGATGATAATTTTTTATTTTAATTTTTTGATGTGGGATAACCTCTTAACATTGGACAACTGTAGAGACAAAATAGGGTTTTTTTTTGTACAAAGGGACAAAAATAGTTTATAATTGAAAAAAAGGAAACAGATGGAGACGACATGGGATTGTCCATCACTTTGGGTGAAATCTAATAGGACCACTCCTCATAGATCTTTTGTATGTACGGCTCTAATATAACATGAGTTTCCTTCTTTGCCCTTTTAACTCATCTCAAAGTTAAGATGGCCGGAATTATATACATACATCACCCAATGCATGCGCCACCACGCAATTATTATTATTATTATTATTAATTGATATAGCCTTTTTCATTTTGTGTTAATTGTTGGTTTCACTAATTTGATTACAAGTGATATAGAGTTCCCAAAACACAAAATTGAATGTTTATTAGGGCTTCTTTGGCATCAATTTATTTAACGTTAGATGTTAGCGTTAATATTTTCAAAAGGCTATCCGGCGTTAGTCTTTAGCTTTACCATTTTTAAAATTAATCTACATCGTTAAAATTTTATCCAAAATGCTAACGCTAACCTGATCCCAAACAAGGCCTTACTCTACCTTTTAGTTCCACTAGAGTTTTTCATATTTCACTTTTTACTCAAATCTATTATACTTCACTCGTGTTTACAATTAGTTGATACTGTAAATGAACCAATTCAACCAAAAGCTCAAGCTTCTGGTTGTGGTCCAGGAAATGTTTCCTATACTCTAACACGCCCCCTCACGTGCAGGCGTAGTCTTTTTCGAGTCTTGCACGTGAAACCTTAATTTTTTTAAACTGGGTGGCGCTGAGTTTCGAACCCGTGACCTCTTAGTCAACAAGGCTCTGATACCATGTAAATGAACCAATTCAACCAAAAGTTCAAGCTTGTGGTTGTGGCCCAGGAAATGTTTCTTATACTCTAACAGATACCATACTCCGTATATTTTAGTGAAAATTAGAAATTTTATATTTTTATAATTAAATTTATATCTTGTGAATTCTTATAATATTGAACGTATAATTTAATTTGTACTCACACCGTCATAGAATATTTGTCCAGTTTTGAATTTTGTAGTTAACTAGGATCAACTTTAGTTTTGACATATAATTATATATAAAATTATATGATATATTAGTGAAATAAAATATTATTTTGAAATTTCTTTACAAGATAAATCTTACATAATTATTCTCGTACATATGAATATCAAATATAAATTTTATTGAAGTAATGATCAATGTTTATCAATTTTGACTGCAAAAAGTTAAAGCTAGACAAATATTCTGAGATAGAAGTAATATTTTTTTATTTTCATGCTCATTTGTAAATAAAATCATATTAAAAGAGATAAATTTTGCACATTCTTTCAAATGGGATGAATATATTAGAATGGAGGGAGTACTCTCTAGCTTGGTCGTATACATTTCTTCTCGTTCTCTTTTTGGACCGTCTCTTCCATTTTTCTTAAATGAAAAGACTTCATTTTTTTTACAATTAAAAGACTACACCGCCCTTACTTTTGTAATATTCACATTTTTATGTTTTTTAATCTATTACGCTACCAAAGGCAAATTAAAAAAGGGAAGTAAAATATTTTTCATCTTGTATTTTAAAATGCGGTAATTCAAAACGAAAAGAAAAATATAAAATCAAAGTCACTATTCTCGTGGATAACTTTTTTATTTGTTTCCACGTTTTTATTGACCTTTTTTAAAAATAAAATATCTTTGTCACTTATTTTCTAAAACTTAAGAATTTAATTTTTAAATATGTAAGTTATATTTTTTTATTTTTATACCAATTTATAACTAAAATAAATTTTAAAAGCATATGAGTTTTTTTAACACATTGTTGAATTGTGTAATCTAATTTGGGAGAAAGAGAGTACATAATTGGCTAAGTAATAATAATTGAACCTGAAGAAAGGGATGTGATTGATGAGAAGGGAAACAGTGAGGGCAGAAGCTTTGGCAACAAAGTAAGCAGAAGATGTTCTTCTCGTTCTTCCTCCGGTGGCGGTGGACGCCGCAGCCGCCGAAGAACGTCTCCGCCATTAGCCCTTCCATCCATGCAGGTTTCCTACCACCCTCCATTTATATATATATGTGTACATACACTCTCAACTAATTAACCTCGAACTTTTTCTTATAATTAACTACTTTTAAGTATGTATTGTTCATTCAATTATTAGAATCTTTAATGCAGAGAGAAAAAGGAATATGGTATGGGACTATGGTGTGTAAGTGTGACTGTGTATATATACTGTAATATGGTATGATACTCTGTGAAGATCCTAAAGTGCTACAAGGGCTCGAGGATATATTGACTAATGTAGAAACCTTATGTAAACAAGAAATTAGCTTTCGATTTGAATCTCAAGAATATTCGTATTTTCTTGAACCTACGTGTGTTGAAACCATTGTATAATGAAATCTTTCATTTAACCCATGTTGAGAAATGTTTGATATTTACATGATGCATTTTGATGTTGAAAATAGATATTTTTCTGACTTGCACTGGCCATGTAGCTTAGAATAAGACTTATGGTTAACTCATAATGTTCATGGACAATATTATTCCAACATAAATTCAACTGAAATTACATAAAGTAATATTACAAATGCAAGTCTAAGTCCAATGCCCCAGGATTTACAAATTCATCATAACTAGCCCCAGGACCTGGAAAAGCTTTAGCAAACGCTAGCTTGTTTAAAAGCTCATCAATAAAGAAAGAAGAGATGAAAAGTTTTCTCTGACTAGAAGCCATGAAGTTCTGTCTCACTGCGTCATCTAGAAATTTGATTAGGTTATTAAAATAACCGTCAATATTCAAGAGACCAATGGGTTTACTGTGCAACCCTTCAGATGCCCATGAGATCAAAGTGAACAAACCTTCCATAGTATCAATTTCTCCGGGAAGTATGATGAAAGCCTCCACCACATGATTCATCTCAAAATACTTGTAGTAATTGCTGGAAACGGTGTACTCTGCACCGTATGTAGGACCATAGACCTGTCGTGCTGCTATGTACCCTGGTATGAAGCCTCTAACTATACCACCATTGGTATAGACTGTTGAAGCAACAGCTCCTTGAAGGCCAACGTTGCCTCCTCCATAGGTAAGTCTAATTTTTCGCCTTACCAATTCCCTTCCTAAATCCACCGCCGTAGCCATGAACTTTGGATTTCTACCAAGAGAATGACTACCAAGTAGACCAACGAATTTTATGGTGTAAGGAAAAGTTCGAGATGTTCCTTCCATAATGTGAGAATGTGAAATGCTCTGGCCACAATCGTGATATATATAGGCTCTGAAAACCTGACCTTTGAAAAAGGGTAGTTATCCTCCGTCAAAATTTGTACAGCAAAGAT